ACTTAAGATCTGGGGTTTCCCACTGACTGTGCCGAGAGGGACCGCAGCCAAGGCCCGGTACCTGCTCTCTGGCGTCCTCACCCTGTAGAGCACTGCTTTGCGATTAAGAAGGACCTCCTGTTTCACAGACGCCTTAAGGCAGTCAGGATCTGCCACTGCCACAGCCACTGCCAACTTCTTCTCCACCTGGTAGCCGGTGACTGCCAGGGGAAGAGGGAGGGGCTTGACGCCTGGGATCCACCCCCAGAGGATCCAGGCCCCGCCCCACGGTGTGGCCAGTAGGCCCCGCCCACAGACCGGGGTTGGAGTTGAGCTTGAAGGTGTCATCATCCGAGGACAGAAAGATGGTGAAGCTAAACGCGTTGCCCTTGTCCAGGAAGACGGTCTCGGGCAGCCCGTAGTCGTTGGAGATGTTGTAGAGCTTTTGGTAGCTGCTCATGTCGATGTACACGCCTTCCGCCGCCAGCCAGTTGCTGGATAGGTAGAAGTAGTAATCCTGGATGCACGGGGTGATCAGCTAGGACGCTGGATGGGACCCGAGTCTCGGTGCTGTCCCTCCACCAACTCCCAACCTGTCCGCCTACCTTGTACTGCGTTTTTTGCTCCCACCAGCGCCAGGTGGGATCGTGCACGGGGTCCGCGTAGGGCTGTGGGACGGTCAGACACGGTGAGGGGACCGGGAGGAGGCAGACAGCTCTAGGGTTGGTTTCAGCTCATAGCCCAAAGTAGGAGACACACACCCCAGCCCGCCCCCAAACCCGGCCTCCTGTGTCTGTGTAGGGTGTGCGAGCTTGTGGAGACCAAATACCTTGCTTGTGTTTCCAAAGAAACCGCCCAGGGAGTTCTCACTGAACCCCGGCCTGACCACACTAGATGGCTGGCCAGTGAGTCTCTACCTCCCCAGTGCTGGGATTCCAGGCCCAGCCCTCACACACAGCTTTTTATGTGGGTGCTGGGATTCCTACTCAGGTCCTCATGTTTTGTGCATCATCTGACCCCACCCCTTGTTTTGATTTTTGTTTGTTTGGCTTTGTTGTTTTTTTTTTTTTTATTGATACAGGGTCTCACTATCTAGCCCCAGCTGTCCTGAAACTTGCTATGTAGACCAGGCTGGCCACAAACCCAAGAGTTCTGTCTGCCTCTGCCTCGAGAGTGCTGGGATAAAGGCATAAAGGCTGAACCACACCACATCAGATCCCCACCACCACCACCACCCACTTTATAATAGCACGTACAGCCTTTAAAGTATAGCCAAGGCTAGTCTTGAACTCCTGATCTTCCTGCCTCTACCTCCGAAGGGCTGCGATTACAGGCATGGGCTAGCATGTATAACGGAATCCTGGCTTCCTGGCTTTTAATCCAAGGTCCTAACCCCTAACAACCACTCTGAAGTCCCCCTTTCAAACCTGCTGCCTCTTCTCCCGCCCCCGTATCTTTGAACTTCAGGCTCCAATCTGGCTACACTACCCACTGAAGCTCACCCCTCCAGGTGCCCACCTTGTCATAATTGGAGTGCAGCCACAGCAGGTAATAAACAAGGCCTTGATAGACAGCAAGTGTCTTATTATTGTGGAAGCCCAGGGATTCTGAGACCAGAGGTGGTGGAGCGTGGTAGAGCTCCTGACGTGCGAAATGCTGTTTTTTGGGCAGGTCACGGAGACGCATCACCTTGAAAGGGCAGAAGTTGGTGAAGAAAGGCATCCTGTAGCTCCTGGCAGCAGTGGGCGACGGGCATGCAAGGGGAGATAGACGCTGACTCCTCTGGAGTGTCAGGGCCACCCCAGACCTGTGCTTCCCACTTCTGAGGGGCTGCTTCCCCCAACCTATCCTAGCTCATCCCAAACGCGGTCTCTGAACACGCCCTGTTGGCTCCCTCAGACCAGAACCCAGGTCCCTCCGCCATCGGCTCCCACGTGTTCTCTCCCGTCCATTCCAGCTGCGGCCCTTGCCTGGCTTCTACCCCCACCTCCAGCTGCTTGTCTGGCTCCACCCTCTGCAGGTGCCTGGAAGCTTTTTTTTCTCTCTTCCCGCAGACAGTCTCGCTATGTGGCCCAGGCTCGCCTTGAGTTGCAAATTCTTCTGCCTTAACCTCACACGTGCTGAGACTGCGCATGTGGGCCACCCCCGAAATCTGTCCTCTCATCAGAGGCCCCCCTCCTCTCTGCTGTCCCAAGCCTCCAGTGACACCCCACTCTTCCTTTGACCTTTGTTTCACGCTGAGCACCCATGTAACCCCATCACCGGCTCACCCTTAGGGTGGCTCTTAGTCCCGCCCCTGGGCTGGGAGCTCTCAGGCCTGTTCATGGGCCCCCCAGGTTCTCACCCATGCTTCTGCAGTGTGACAGGGTTGTTCTGGTTGTACAGCAGCAACTGAGCCACAGGCAACACCCTCTTGACCAAACGTTCATTCCCGGACTCCAGAAGATATATCAGCTGGGGCCAGAAGCAGGCAGGTCAGCCGGTGGGAACCACCTTGTCGCCCCCACCTGCTCCCCATGTCCACCCCACCAGGCCCTCCCGGCACCTGGTAGAGCTGCCCGTCTTCATAGAAGACGCTGACCAGGAACTCTTGTTCCGCAAAGAGGGATGACTGGTGCATCTTTTGCAGGTTAAAGTAGATACTCCAGCCTTTGGATGGGATAATCTGGTATACGTCATAGCCACCTTCCAGAAAGTACCAGATCTGTGGGGTCAGTGGTCGATATAGTGGGGCTATGATTAAAACAAACAAACAAACAAACAAAAAAACCCAAAAAAACAAAAAACCATCACCTTCCCGGCTCTCCCATTGTGCTGTGATGATCTTTGGAAAATCTCCTACCCTCTCTGAACTCCAGGGCCTTGTTACAGATAGAGCTGCTACTGACGTTATCTGGGGGTCCCCTAAGGGTGTTCACCCTGACAGGACAGGAGGGCTTGGGGAGAAGAGCAGGGTAGCGCACCTCATCTTTTTCTGTGACAAAAGCCATGTCTCCTTGGTAAGAGTTGACCATATATTTGATGGTGGACTCCTTTGGGAAGTCCGCCAGGTAAATGAAGTGAATCCTATTGTAGCTGCAGGGGCAGAGAGACGGGGTTCAGAGAATGGGGACAGCCCGGTGTCCTTAGACACCCGTTGCTACCATTGCAACCATGGTATAGCATAGGACTCGCTGACTGTCTGTCTACTGGCATTGTAAACAGTAGCAGAGGAACCCTGTAACTTTACCTTTAGCTTCCATCACGTATTAGAGTCTCCTTAGACCCCCATCCCCCCTTCTCTGACTCAGCCCTGTGGCCAACGACTCCAGTAAATCACCATCTTGCCTACAAATGAACTCCCAGTGTCATACTATCTGAGCCCTGGATCCAGCACACCTGAAGTTGGCTCTGGATCTTTCTAAATATAAGTCAAGAGATTCTTTGTGTTTAAATGATTTTTTGAACTAGGCTTCTTTCTTTTAAAAGCAAATGCATCAGCGGGGCAGTGGTGGCACACGCCTTTAATTCCAGCACTCAGGAGGCAGAGCAGGCGGATCTCTGTGAGTTCAAGGCCAGCCTGGTCTCCAGAGCGAGTGCCAGGATAGGCTCCCTAGCTACAGAGAAACCATGGCTCAAAAAAAAAAAAAAAAAACCAAAAAAACAAAAACAACTAATCAATAAAAGTGAAAATTAAAAAAAATAACTAAATGCATCATGAAAGAGAAACTGTTCATGAAGACGGCATCAGGTCCCTGGGTCCATGAAGAATAAGCCGGTAGATGGGTAGGAAAAGTTCTAGAGTGTCCTCAGGAAATGCTTTCTATTGCTCATGTGTGTCCAGTCCACAAAATTTCATTTTACTTGCCTAACATAAGCAAGACCCTGACTGGGCCCAAAAACAAACAAACAAACAAACAAAACCAAAACCAAAACCACCTGCTGAAGGCCTGGAAAGATGGCTTAGAGGTTAAGAGCATTTGCTGCTCTTAAGGTAGGTTCCAAGTCCCAAATGATGCCGGCTCCAGGGTTTCCAGTGCCCTCTTCTGGCCTCCATAGGTACCTACACTCCTGTGTGTACACCACCACACAGACACACACACATACACATCATTAACATAAAACTTGACTGGGTGTTAATGGCAGATGACTTTAATCTCAAGCATGGGGCAGAAACGGAGGCAGATGGGTCTCTGAGTTCAAGACCAGAGAGGGCTACATAGTGAGACCCATTGCAAAAACAAACAAACAAAGATTCTTTCTATAAATAAAGATGTATGTGTGTGTGTCTGGCTCCCTGGGGAGATAGCTTATGCCTACCTTTGAAGGATGAAATTGCCCCAGATGTACAGCATATTGTTGAATGTGTTGAAGAACAAGCCCTTGGGTACCATAGAAGTGGTGGTATAGGGCTCTGTCCCGTCTAACACCAGGAAGTCCAAACCCTGAGCTGACCACAGCAGAGGAGGAAAGGATACGATGGAGAAGAGAATTGTTCAGTCACCTGGGCTCTTCCTGACCTCTGCCCACCCCGGAAGCCACCCTGGCCCTCTGCTCCTACCTTCTGGGATAAACAATGGTAGTACGTAGAGAACTTCCAGATTCTGGGTCTCTAAAAGTAGGAAACAACACCCTGAAACCTGAAGAACTCTCAACATCTGAGAGCAGAGCCAAGCTACTAGCTCTCCAATCCTCAAATCAGACTCTGTTGGCAACTGGGTGTGGTGGCACTTGTGTCCCAGCACGCAGGAGGCAGAGACATGTGGACCTTTGTGAGTTTGAGGACACCCTGGTCTATATGGTGAGTTCCAGGCCAGTTAGGACTGCATAATGAGACCTTGTTTCAAAAAACAAAAACAATTCAAAAACCAGCTCCCACCCATCTTAAAGATGCTACTGGCTTTCCATTTAGGATAGAATACCTTCCTTGATTCATTACATTTACTCTGTTGTGGGAGGGGGGCTTCTGTTCCCCTGTTCAGTCTCCCTCCTTGTCCTCTTATCTCTCTCCCAGACACGCCCAGCCCACTCTAAGAGCTAAGAGTGAAGTGTTTGGGTAGGCATAAGGTCCACAGTCCAGGCTCTGGTGCGTTCCCTCTTAACCTCCAGGCAACCTGATTACCTAAATTAAAGCTGACTAGGTTGTAGACCAAAGCTGAATCCCAGGACAGGACCTGCACCAGCAATAGCAGTATCTTCTCATCGGTGATGTATGTAGCCCAGTTGATGGAGCAGTTGGTACCTGTTGGGGGAGAGCAGAACCTAGAGCAATCTGGCCTCTTCCCGGAAACCCTTCTCACCTCCTCAGAGGCCTCCCACCCTCCACCCCAGATCCCACCACAAAAGTGAGTACCTATAAATTTATCACATATTGACCATTTCTCTGGCACCATCCGGAAGGACACGAGGCCATCTGTGGATCAAAGCAGGTCCCATGCTCAGGCACATTTTAGTCTGCCAGCACCTGTAGGGCAGGCGTCCCACCCAACCAGCACCCCATTGAGGCTCCCACACCTTGAACCTCTTGGTGCAGGGATTCTGGGCTTAGTCCTGCTTTCCAGCCTTCTCATCTCTACACTTGACCTAGGGTCTCAGAAAGTTCTTAGATCTGGCCATGTGACCAGCGGGGGCGGGGGTGGTGCCCACGCCAATTTCTGTGAGTTCCAGGCCAGCCTGGTCCACAGAGCTAGTTCCAGGACAGGCTTCAAAGCAATACAGAGTAATCAGTTTTGGGGGCAGGGGAGCCGATCAGAGTGCATCCTGTGGCTTGGAGTTAGGACTAAGGAATTGAGATTTGGGGTGCACACTGGTGGATCCCATACTTGTTCGCTGATGCTGAGGCAAGCTCTGGCCCTGGTTTTGTCTTTTAAGTTAATATGGCTTCCAACTCTTTTTTTTTTTTTTTGAGACAGGGTTTCTCTGTATTGTTTTGGAGGCTGTCCTGGAACTCGCTCTGTAGACCTGGCTTGTCTCGAACTCATAGAGATCCGTCTGCCTTTGCCTCCCGAGTGCTGGGATTAAAGGCGTGCGCCACCAACGTCTGGCAGCTTCCAACTCTTGATCCTTCTGCCTTAGCCTTCCAAGTGTTGTGACTGCATGTGACACCATGTCCAGTATATTTATTTCATCTTTATATCAACCCAAAGAAGCAGACTATAGTATTGTCATCTGGTCCCATTTCACAGATAGGAAAATGTTATCAGTGAAGTCATGTAACTTCTCCAAAGACTGCTCTGTGGAGCAGTCTGTGGCATCTGTGTTCTAATTAGTCACCATGTGATGCAATAATAGGGACTTATTGGGGCTGGAGAGATGGCTCAGAGGTTAAGAGCACTGACTGCTCTTCCAAAGGTCCCGAGTTCAAGTCCCAGCAACCACATGGTGGCTCATAACCATTCTCTATGAGATCTGGGTGCCCTCCTCTGGTGTGCAGATACACATGGAAGCAGAATGTTGTATGCATAATAAATAAAATAAAATCTTTAAAAAAATAATAGGGACTTATCAGCACATTTTCAAACCAGCAAACAAAAACCAAACAGTCTTTTCAGTGGGGCCTGGCAGATGCCTGATGGAAAACAAAAAACAGGACAAGCCCCGAGTGTTGGTACGAGCCTTTAATCCGAGGGGCAGAGGAAGGGAGATCTTGGTGAATTTGACGCCAGCTTGGTCTACACAGTGAGTTTGAAGGCAGCAAGTTATATATTGAGATCCTGGCTCAACAAACAAGCAAACAAAAGAAATGAAATGAAAATGTCCAATGTCGTCAGTGGCACCTCTTTGAACGATTCTTTGACTATGGAAAAACTTGAGTCAGATTCCTGCTTAGCACTGAGTATGAGCATGCCAATAGTATTTTATTTTATGATTTACGTGTTTTCTGTGTGTGAGCGTTTTGCACACCTATCTGTATGTGTGCCACCTGAGTGCCTGGTGCTGGAGGCCAAGAGAGAGCATCAGATCCCCTGGGACAATTATGAGTTGCCACAAGAGTGTTCCAAAGGGCTCTTGGCTGCTGAGTCATCTCTCCTAACCCTCCCTCTCCCCCTGTTTCAAGAACAGGTCTCACTACGTATCCCTAGCTAGCCTAGACCTCCCTATGGAGACCAGGATGGCCTCAAATTCCTGCATGCTGTACACCTCTGAGGGGGTCAGAGGGACAATTTGTGGTATTGGCTCTTTTCTTCCATCATGTGGGCCCCGGGGACTGAATTCAAGTCCTCAGGCTGAGCAGCGAGCACATGTACCAGCTGAGCTGCCTCACTAGTCCTTTACATTTATTAATTTCTGTAACACGTCATCATTCTCTCCAGCCTGCTTTTAAATTTTATTTTGAGATAAGGGTGTCATTGTAGCCTACCCTGGCCTTGAACTTCTGATGCTCCACTTCCCAAGTGCTGGGATTGAAGGCGAGCATTGTCCCATCCAGCTTTGCTGACCTGATTTTTGTTTTTGTTTTTCCAGACAGGGTTTCTCTGTGTAGCTTTGGAGCCTGTCCTGGCACTCGCTCTGGAGACCAGGCTGGTCTCGAACTCACAGAGATCTGCCTGCCTCTGCCTCCTGAGTGCTGGGATTAAAGGTGTGCGCCACCACCACCATCCTCCCTCCCCTCTCCCCCACACCCCAGCGCTGACCTGATTTTTGAGTTGGGTTTCTGCCCTTTAAAGTCAAATACACCATAGAAAGTACCTAACACTGTTCAAGCCTCATGTCAACCAATGCATACCCATTTCCACACACACGGACCAACCCTGAGCCTGTCACCTCTCCTGAGGACACACTGCAAGGTGAGAAGGTACAGAGAAAGGTCTCCCGAGCTTCCAGAACCCACTGGCTTTTACCTGTGATGGTCCCGATGTGAATGTAACCTTCGTGCTTGCCAGTGGTAAGGGCCAGGATGTACTCAGAGCCATTGCCATGGATGAATACAGGGCACAGTCTCTTGATGCACTCGCTAGCCAGGACACGCACCCAGCTACCTAGGGGGGCAAGGATGGGGACTCAAAACCAGGTGATCAGGCTGGTCCCTGAACCCCCGGTCTCCTTCCTTCTAACCTTACAAACCCATTACCTGTCCTCTTAGCCTGGAGCAGCATGTCAGTACGGTATTAGGGAGTCTCTAGAGCAACACTTGTCAGAGCAACACTTGCCGTTCCTAGACTGCTATGACTGGCCTTGGTTTTATGAGACAGGGTCTTACACTGTGGCCCCAGCTGGCCTCAAACTTCCTATGTAGCCCAGGCTCATCTCAAACTATCTGGCTTCCTGCTGGAGCTTCCCAAATACTGGGATGTCAGATGTGTACTGCTCCATGGGCTGTCTGTGAGTTCTAGGTGCTCTGTTGTGCTCCCCTGGTTCTGAACTGAGTGTTGGACAGAGAGAGGCAAATAAGAGGCCCTTCCAGTTTTCAGCCACGAACAAAAAGCTTCCCTGGAACTATTAAGGTACAGAGAAATGGACAGTTGCTGGGTCTAAGTAGGAATCACCATGGTCAGCAAGGAGACCAAGAGTTACAAGGAGTCCCTGGGTAGATACGCCTATGCCTGAAGCCAAAGTGCTCATGCGTTTCTCATTCAGGTAAGCCAATAAACATGCAAACTCCACTTTGTTTGTTTTTTTTTCCTGAGGGAGGGCATGGAGGCAGTTCTCATGAAGTTTCCCAGGCTTCCTAGAACCTACTACGTAGTCCAGGCTTGCCCTGAACTAGGGATTCTCTAGTGCTGAGATTACAGAGGTCTGCGACACCCCCACCATGCATGTGCTCCCCCATTTCCC